ACCTCTTCTGGTGGGTTTGTGATTTACAGTGATGACTAAAAATCAGCAACATCTCATTATTTCTGGATTTATTTATGTATAGTGGGTGACAGATAGTTAAAGATCTTGGAAGAGAGAAGCAAATAAGAATTTTTATAGCAAAAGAACAGGAATCGATAGTGACATTTCCACAAAGCTAGTGCTCCGGTGCCATAGTGTCTGTGGTTTCTCTGACAGCAGCATTTTTAATAATCTCACAAGAGAGGGAGATGCCCTGGCCGGTTTGGGTCAGTGGTTAGAGCATTGGCCTGTAGTCCTGAGAGACCCGGGTTCGGTTCCCACTAAGGGCATGTACCTCAGTTGCAGTTTGTCCCTGGCCCTGGTTGGGTCGTGTGGGTGGCAGCCACTTGATGTGTCCCTTTCACATCCATGTTTCTCTCTCTCTCTCTCTCCCCCTCTATCTGAACAAAATATCAAAAAGTGTCCCCGAGTGAGGATAAAAATAAAAAAAGGGAGAACATGGAGATAAAGCCGTGCTGAGACATTCCCACAATGCAGAGTCTTAACAGAAGCCAAGATGGCTTAACAGGCCTTTTGTAACCAGTATGTGGTATAAGAATTAGTTTTATTTTTGTCCCCCACTATCTTTTGAAACTTTGATAAAAAGACATGATCTTCCTCTGCCAAGGGGTGAAGACTTGGGCAGACACATGACTTCTGTCAGTCTTCCTGTCACATTTTTTTTATCCTCACCCGAGGACATTTTTTTCGATGTTTTGTTCAGATAGAGTGGGAGGGAGAGAGAGAGAAACATCGACGTGAAAGGGACACATGGAGTGGCTGCCACCCGCACGACCCAACCAGGGCCAGAGACAAACTGCAACCGAGGTACTCGCCCTTAGCGAAAACCAAACCCGGCTCTCTCTGGACTGCAGGCCGATGCTCTAACCGCTGAGCCAAACTGGCCAGGGCTTCCTGTCAAATTTAATCATATAATCTCATTGCATTAAAGTATCTTAAACAACAATAGCCCTGGCTGGTTTGCCTCAGCAATTAGAGTGTCATCCCACGAACCACAGAGTCGCAGGTTTGTTTCCAGTCAAGGACCTGTACCTTGGTTGCAGGTTCGATTCCCAGTCCTGGTTGGAGCTTGTGAAGGAGGCAACCAATCAATGTGTCTCTCTCAAATTGATGTCTCTGTCTCTGTCTCTGTCTCTCTCTCTCTCTCTCTCTCCCCCTCCCTCCCTCCCTTCCCCTTCCCTTCCACTCTCTCTAAAAATGAAAAAAAAAATATCCTCCAGTGAGGATTAACTAAAAAAACTACAAGTTTGGCATGAATTCTTTTGCTAATTTGAACTTGCGCCAGGCCTGAAACGTCCAGCAGAACAATGGGATGGAGTCCTTTGCTCTCTCCTTTCCTCCTCTTCAACCCCCCACATGCTAGCTGTTCTACCACTTCCTCAGAAGCCAAGGGGAACACAAGAGAGAAAGCAGTTCTTACTTACCTGGCTGGCTCTGTGCTCTCTGGTCCTGCCTGCTGATGAGAGCTGGCTTTCTCTTGGGTGACATTTTCATGAGCTTACCAGAGGCTCCTGCTATGCCTTTGACCCCGGCAGATGTATCTCCACTCTAGCTATTCAATTGCTGTCCTCTCCTCAGTCCTTGGGTACCAGGCAGTACATGCAAGACCCTTTCTGCTGAGGTCTCCTTGGCTTTGCTGATGGTCTGTTGGACAGTGTCAGATATGACCCCACAGCATAGTCCATGGGAAAAATTCATACATTCCTGCCCATGAAAAAGAACTCTCTCACCAAAGTAGCTTTGCCTTTCTCTTGCCCCCGTAGATTTCCTAGGCAAGTCACATACCAGCTTTCAGCCCAGCTTTGCTTTCTTTCTCAGTCCTGAGTCAGTTACCAGTGTTCTGGGTGTCCTAACTGCAGAGAACACATTTCCAAACTCTGAGTTGTCCCCTTGAAATCTTCTCCAGCTTATAGTGGCAGAAGGTGCCACTTCCCTCCTGTTCTGCCAAAATGGGGTTGGAACTCAGCATAGCAACAGCTTTATCCAAAGAAATTTCTTCATCAATCTTCTTACCAAATCATCTGTCTCTTAAAATTTATAGTCTTGAAGTAGATAAAGGGCCTCAAGAGCCACAAAACAAGTTTCCTCTAGGATCCTCAATTAAATTTGAGGCAGAAGCCCTGGCCGGTTTGGCTCAGTAGTTAGAGCGTCACCCTGCGGACCAGAGACCCAGGTTCGGTTCTCACTAAGGGTACATGCCTCCCTCAGTTGCATGGCACCGGTTGGGGTCGTGTGGGTGGCAACTACTCGATGTGTCTCTCTCACATTGATGTTTCTCTCTCTCTTACTCCCTCTCTCCCTCCCACTCTATCTGAAGATAAGTGCAAAAATGTCCTCGGATGAGGATAAATAAATAAGTAAATAAATAAATAAATTTGAGGCAGAAGAGTTTCATTCAAATAAATTGCATGTTAGTTACTTACTGCTGCCTCACAAATTCTCCCCAAACTCAGTGGTGTAAACAATAAACATTTATTATTGCTCAGCTTTTCCGGGTCAGGAATTCAGGAGTGGCTTAATTAGGCAGTTCTGGCTCAGGGTTTGTGGGGTTCCAGTCAAGATATCAGCCTGATGAGGACCTGAGAATTGCTTCTAACATGGCTCACTCACATGGTTTGCAATCTGGTGCTGGTTGTCCGTGTAAGGCAATTCCTCTCCACTAGCATTCTCCACAAGGCCGCTCCAATGTTTCCATGACATGACGACTGGATTCCGGCAGAACGAGCATCAAGATGAAAGCAGCAACCCCTTTTATAATCTAATCTCAGAGGTCACATACTGTCACCTCTGTTTCGTGTTATCAACCAGCTTTGATTCAATATGCAATGAATACCAGGAATCAAGGATCATTGGGGACCATCTTGGAAGATGCCTGCCACACCTCTCTTTCTCTCTCTCTCCTTTTCTCTCTCTCTCCTTTTCTTTCTCTCTAAAAGCAATAAACAGCCCTGGCCAGTTTGGCTCAGCAGTAGAGCATTGGCCTGTGGAACAATGAGTGGCGGGTTGATTCCAGCAAAGGGCGTGTATCTGGGTTGTGGTTCACTCCCAACCGATACACTTAAAATTACCATTATCCCCTAAAACAAACTGAACAAAGTAAGTGAGAGACCATACATTTGGATTGTTTTAATTTTTTTTGTTTGTTTGTTTGTTTTATCCTCACCCGAGGACATTTTTCCATTTTTTGTACAGATAGAGTGGGAGGGAGAGAGAGGAAGAGACAGAGAGAGAGAAACATCGATGTGAAAGGGACACATCGAGTGGCTGCCACCACACGACCAACCAGGGACGGGGACAAACTGCAACCGAAGTACGTGCCCTTAGCGGGAACCGAACCCAGGTCTCTCTGGACCGCAGGCCGGTGCTCTAACCGCTGAGCCAAACTGGCCAGGGCTACATTTGGATTGTTTTAATCAAAACTGCTTTGGGGCCCTGGCCAGTTGGCTCAGTTGGTTGGCGTATCATCCCCTGCACCCAAAAGGTCACAGGTTTGATTCCTGGTCAGGGCACAACCTAGGCTGCAGGTTCAATCCCCAGTCAGGGCACATATGGGAAGAAACTAATCAATGTTTCTCACATTGATGTTTCTCTCTCTCTCCCCCTCTCTTTCTCTCTCTCTCCTTTTCTTTTTTTTTTTTTATCCTCACCCGAGGATATTTTTCCATTTTTTGTACAGATAGAGTGGGAGGGAGGGAGAGAGAGAGAGAGAGAGAGAAACATCGATGTGAAGGGACACATCGAGTGGCTGCCACCCGCACGACCAACCAGGGCCGGGGACAAACTGCAACCGAAGTACGTGCCCTGAGCGGGAACCGAACCCGGGTCTCTCCGGACCGCAGGCCAACACTCTAACCGCTGAGCCAAACTGGCCAGGGCTCTCTCTCCTTTTCTTTCTCTCTAAAAGCAATAAACAGCCCTGGCCAGTTTGGCTCAGCAGTAGAGCATTGGCCTGTGGAACAATGAGTGGCGGGTTGATTCCAGCAAAGGGCGTGTACCTGGGTTGTGGTTCGCTCCCAACCCTGGTCAGGGTTGTGCAGGAGGCAACCAGTTGATGTGTCCCTCTCACATCGATGTTTCTTTCTCTCTCCCTCCCACTCCATCTGAAAATAAATAGAAAAATATCCTCGGGTGAGGATTAAAAAATAAATAAATAAATAAACAAACAAATAAATAAATGCAATAAACATATCCTCCGGTGAGGATAACACAACAACAAAAAACCTGCTTTGGGGAATTCCTGATCTTCAAAATTATATATGTCATCTGGCCCTCTCCAGCATTTGTCCCTCAACTATAAATAAGTCCAGAATTCTCCTGGGAGGAAGGCAGGACCTCGGCCTGATCTTAAGGATTCGTTTTGAGGAGAAACATCTGTAACAAAAATAAAATTAAAAAAAAAGGATTCATTTTGGTTCTCAGATCTCTGATTCTACAACATACTCAGAAAATAAAGCTTTGTAATTATCTTAAAGTCGACATTTACATTGAATTTACAATTCAATAAAAACATTCTAAGGTGTGTTATTACAAGAATCATCTCTGTTTTATTTATTTTACAGAATAATGATCTGAACTGAATACATTTGGGCACAGTAAATATTTGACATGAAATGCAGTTGTTTCAGAATGGGTATCAGAAAAATAGCAACTCATCTTACACATAACTGGAAAATATTTTTCTGTCTGATCGTTTAAGTGTTACAAATCCTGAGAATATTATACACTGAACAAACTAAGTACTACCTTATAATTAAATCTTGCTTGGAAATCCTCCTTTAAAAAAATGCTTTGAGGTATAAATCACCTATGTATTAAACATGAGTCTTTTACATTTTACAAAGAATTTAAACAAACATATCAAAGTTCAGTGGCTCTTAAAACAGCTATCAGTCAGGTTCAAGCACACACTGTTCCACGATTTCCCGTAAGTTGGGGTTCTCCATTGCAGCTGCCACTCGCTCTTTGTCATTTATCTGCTTGTTGACTGCAAAACACAGAGACAAAAGTTAGCAGAGCTGGGTCAATATATGGCAACAGATGTAATTTTTCTTAGGCTGTTAAAACAGAAAATTTAACTCCTTGGGAACTTAAAGCTGATTTTGGCTAATTATTCATAAGTTTTAGAAGGGAGACTTAAAGAGAAAAATATCTTCTATAATCCTACTATTCTACCACAACTATTTTTATTTCTTTCTTTCCAGTCTTTGTCCATATACATATTTCCATATGTTATACTCAGGGTAAATACAATTTTGAAAATTGCTCCTTTTCCCTCCTTAAACCTTCTTAAATAACTTATAAGGATATTTAACACAGCAAAAAGTGTAAGTGTGCTAAATAAATTATGAAGAAAAAATAAATTTAACAAATAATAATAATAAATAATAAATATCCCTGGCTGGTTTGGCTCACCAGTTAGTGCGACAGCCCATGGACCAAAGAGTTGGCAGTTCAATTCCGGTCAAGGGCATGCACACCTTGGTTGCAGTTCAATCCCCAGCTCTGAATCTTTTTGGAAAGATTCTTCAGAGTGGGATTATCAGATCTGAGGATATGAGCATTTTTATGGTTTGAATGATATAACTGAATTACTTCTCAATATTTTTTTTACCAATTTACATTCTCAACAGCAATATATGAGCTATCATTTTGCCAAGAATACTCAGTATTATTTTAAAAAACAGCCCTTGCCAGGTGGCTCAGTTGGATGGAGTGTCGTCCTATATATCAAAAGGCTGCAGATTCGATTCCTGGTTAGGGCACATACCTAGATTGTGGGTTTGAGCCCCAGTTGGGGCACATACAGGAGGTAACCAATCAATGTTTCTCTCTCACATCAATGTTTCTCTTTCTCTCTCCCTCCCTCTCTCTCTAAAATCAATAAAAGAAATGTTTTAAATATAGATACACACACACACACACACAAACTAGAAGATGAAAAATGGTTCCAATTATTGTCGTAATTTGCAATTTCTTGATTAACAGCAAGATAACATTTTCCCATGTTTATTTATAAGCTCTTCTTGTGTCATTTTCTATTTATATCTCTTTGTATTAATCTATTGGTTCTTTCTTTTTTAAAAAAAAATTAGTTTGCATTGATCTTCATAATAAAGGTATTGGCCCATATTGGTTGTCTATAATTTGCAAAAAGCAATCCTGATGGAATAGTTCAAAAGAGAGATGCCCATATTCTTTATTATTATTATTATTTTAAATCCTAACCCAAGGATATGTTTACTGATTGTTTCGAGACAGGAAGAAAGAGAGAGAGAGAGAGAGAAACATCATGTGAGAGAGAAACATGAGTTGCCTCCCCAGGATCGAACTGGCAACCTAGGTATGTGCCCTGACCAGGAATCGAACCTGCAACCTATTTGGTGCAAGGAACAAGCTCCAACCAACTGAGCCACCCAACTGGGGCAGAGATGTTGATATATTTTTAAAATTTTTTTTTAATTAATTTTTTTAAAGAGAGAGGAAGGGGGAAGGAGAGAGAGAAACATCAGTGGGAGAGGGAACATCAATCAGCTGCCTCCTGCATGCCCCCTACAGGGGATTGAGCCTATAACCCGGGCATGTGCTCTGACTGGGAATTGAACTAGCAACCTTTCAGTGCATGGGACAATGCCCAACCAACTGAACCACAACAGCCAAAGTGAGATGTCTATATTCTTAACGTGGGCTAACTTTTCTGGGACCCTGCTAAAATGTCACATACAGAAAACAGATATTCCTATGTAAACAATTGCAATTCTTTCTGTTTCTTTCTACTACAATGTAGGCTCCATAAGGCCAAAGGTGTATCTCAAAGGTCAAATTATGCCTGCACATAGAAAGCACTCAATAAATACTTAGTAATGAAAAACCCTTTAAAAAAGCTTAATATGGAACTTCTAGTCAAGATGGCGGCGTAGGTAAACGAGGTATCGCGTCCTCCCACAACCACATCAAAGTTACAACTAAACTACAGAACAACCATCATTCAAAACCGCCTGAAATCGAGCTGAATGGAAGTCCTACAACTACGGAATTAAAGCAGCAGCCACATCCAGACTGGTAGGAGGGGCGGAGGCGGATGGGCTGGTCCCACACCCACGTGTGGCGGATAAAAATCAGGAGGGCACCTCGGCTGAGAAGGTCCTTCCTGAGGACTGAGGGGTCCCCGTCCCATACCAGGCACCCTGCTCAAGGTTCCAGTGCCAGGAAGAGAAGTCCCCATAACTTCTGGCTGAGAAAACCAGCGGGAACTGAGGCTTAGGAAGGCTGAGGCAGCTGGAGCCCCAGGCAGCTCCTTAAAGGGCCCGCGCATGGACTTATCGGACTCGCTCCCTCTAAGCTTGGGGGGGAAGCAGCTCGAGGGGCACCAGAGACATACAGGGAAGAACTGAGCTATTTGGCGTTGGAGTCAGGGCTGGAGAGGGGGCTTTCTCTGGGACAAACATGCTGTCAGAGGCCTTTGTTCTTTTGGTGAGCCCTTCCCTGGGGTGGTAGACAGTCGCCATATCTGGGACTCCAGCAACCTGGCTCACACTGGTGGCCCCGCCCCACCCAACTTTCAGGCCCACTCAAGCTGTTGCCAGTTGCTTAACCATAGGATTGGCCTGCCTTGGATCCTGCTTCAGGTTTTCCTAAATTCTTACAAACAAGCAGCATCTGGTCTCAGCTAGACCCATACCTCTCATTAAGTAATACATACAAACAAACACAGGGAGGCAGCCAAAATGAGGAGACAAAGAAACAGGTCCCAAATGAAAGAACAGAACAAAACCCCAGGAAAAGAACTAAGCGAAATGGAGATAAGCAACCTAACAGATGCTGAGTTCATAATATTACTTATAAGGATGCTCAATGAACTTAGTGAGAACCTCAGCAAACTCAGTGAGGGCCTCAAGAGCATAAAAAAAGACCAGTCAGAAATGAAGGAGGCACTAACTGAAATAAAGAATAATTTACACAGATTCAATAGTAGAGTAGGTAAAGCCAAGAAGCAAACCATCGATTTGGAATATAAGGAAGCAAAAAACACCCAATCAGAACAGCAAAAAAAAAAAAAAAAAAAAAAGAATCCAAAAAAATGAGGGGAGTGTAAGGAGCCTCTGGGACAACTTCAAGCATGCCAACATTCGCATCTTGGGGGTGCCAGAAGGAGAAGAGAGAACAAGTAATCAAAAACCTATTTGAGCCCTGGCCGGTTTGGCTCAGCGGTTAGAGCGTCCGCCTGCGGTCCGAAGAGACCTGGGTTCGGTTCCCGCTAAGGGCATGTACCTCGGTTGCAGTTTGTCCCCGGCCCTGGTTGGTCGTGCGGGTGGCAGCCACTCAATGTGTCCCTTTCACATCGATGTTTCCCTCTCTCTCTTTTCCTCTCTCTCCCTCCCACACTGTCTGTACAAAAAATGGAAAAATGTCCTCGGATGAGGATTAAAAAAAACAACAACAACAAAAAAAACCTATTTGAAATGATAATGGCAGAAAACTTCCCTAACTTGGTGAAGGAAACAGACATACAAGTCCAGGAAGCACAGAGAGTCCCAAATAAGATGAACCCCAAGAGGCCCACACCAAGACACATCATCATCAAAATGCCAAAGGTTCAAGACAAAGAGAGAATCTTAAAAGCGGCAAGAGAAAAACAGTTAGTTACCTACAAGGGTGTTCCCATAAGACTGTCTCTGATTTCTCAAAAGAAACTTTGCAGGCCAGAAGAGAGTGGCAAGAAATATTCAGAGTGATGAAAAGCAAGAACCTACAACCAAAGTTACTCTATCCTACAAAGCTGTCATTTAGAATCAATGGCCATATAAAGAGTTTCCCAGACAAGAAAAAGTTAAAGGAGTTCATCACCACTAAACCGTCATTACATGAAATGATGAAGGGTCTTTTTGAAGAAAAAAATAAAACATGAACAAACAAAATGGCAATGAATACATATCTATCGACAATTGAATCTACAAACAAAATGAACAGGCAGAACAGAAACATTCTCATAGATACGGAGAACATTTTGTAGGTTGCCAGATGGGAGAGGGGCTGGGAGAATGGGTGAAAAAGGTGAAGGGATTAAGAAATACAAATTGGTTGATAGACTAATAAACCTCAAAAGGAAGGGGGTTTGGGGGTGGGAAGAAACAAACCAAAGAACTTTTATGCATAACCAATAGACACAGACAACAGTGTGGGAAAAGGTGGGAGGAGGGCGGAAGTGGAGAGGAGGGAGTCAATGGGGGAAAAATGAGGAACATCTGTAATACATTCAACAATAAAGATTTAAAAAAATAATAAAATAAATAAATAAATAAAAATTAAAAAGCTTAATATGCCCGGCCGGTGTGGCTCAGTGGTTGAGCATTAACCCATACCCCTAAAGGTTGCCGGTTAACCCTGGCTGGTTTAGCTCAGCGGTTAGAGCATCAGCCCACAGACCAGAAGCTCAGATTCAATTCTGGTCAAGGGCACGTACCTCGGTGTGGTTCAGTTCCCAGCCCTGGTTGAGGTCATGCAGGAGGCAACCAGTACGTGTCTCTCTCACATCGATGTTTCTCTCTCTCCTTCTCTCCCTCCCCCTACCCCCCACTCTATGTGAACAAAAATGGAAAACACCCTCAGGCGAGGATTCTTTTAAAAAAGTTTAATACTATGTTATTATAAAATCCTGTAAGTAAGAAGAGTTTCAAAAACATAACAAGAGTGAATTTAAGGGACCTAAACTCTTTTATTTTTTAAATTAAGAGTTAGAAGTCAATAGTTTATGGGATTTGAATAAATTTAATTCATGAGAAGTAAAATAATCTACATGTCTGGAACTGTAAAAATTGGACATGATTTTAGCAGTTTTCATGACAGTACCTAAAGTCTCCTGAATGGGCTATTCCTCTGAAAGCAGTGGGCTTCCCTCCCTCTCTGTGTCCATGTTTTTGTGTACCTCTTCCTATATGTGCTTTTGAGTTGCTATCTTCCTCTGTATGTCTCTTATTGTTGCTTTTACTCTATTACTGTCCCTTTCTTCCCCTCCTCTGCTGTTTTCCAACTTCTCAATTTACTTAGCAATGAAAGCTAAGCACAACATGCATTTTAAATGTATGTCTTATTATTTGCACTCTATCACTTGTAGATAAAATTCTGTTCTGTTTTTAATATAACACATAGGTTATGTGGAACATTTTGTCTTTTGCTTTTCTCAAACCCACCTCTACTATTTTTAAGTAGTTAATGATTGACTTCTCTCTGTAGGCCAGATGTCCTCTATATAAAAAAGGCTACCACTCCCACTTTATTTTATTTTATTTTTCTTAATCCTCACCTGAGGATTTATTTTTATTGATTTTTTAGAAAGGAAGGAAGGAAGAAAGGGAGAAAGAGAGAGAAATATTGATGTAAGAAATAGGAACGGGTTGCCTCCCACATGTGCCCTGACCAGAAATTAAACCTGCAACCTTTTGGTGCACGGGATGGCGCTCCTACCAACTGAGCAACCCAGCCAGGGCCCCACTTCCATTTTAATACATTAACTCAGAAAGACAACACCTACTCTAAGATTCCCTAAAGCTTTACTTACTAGACCTTCAATTTCAAGTACACAGCTCTCTATCATTCTACCAAAGAAAAGAATCAAGTCCTCTTTAGAGCTTATAAGTCAAGGTTCCTAGAGCTGGATATTCTTTACAAAATGTGTAACCATTGGTCTAAACCAGTCAATATCCACAAGGCCTAACTCTAATTCACCCAGAGTCCTAATAAAAAAACTACTTCCATGAAATGCCTATTTCTCTACGCCTCAAGGAAGAGCTAATAACTGATTTTGCACTTTTTTGCAAATGACCCAATAGATAACTGGCTGGCAGAATAACCTGGTATCCCAGATAAAGTACTTTCTGAAGTTTTTTTTTTAATATCCTCACCCGAGGACATTTTTCCATTTTTTGTTCAGGTAGAATGGGAGGGAGAGAGAGAGAGAAACATTGACGTGAAAGGGACACATCGAGTGGTCGCCACCCACACGACCCAACCAGGACCAGGGACAAACCACAACCGAGGTACGTGCCCTTAGTGGGAACTGAACCCAGGTCTCTCTGGACCACAGGCCGACGCTCCAACTGCTGAGCCAAACTGGCCAACACTGAAGTTGTTTTTAATGATTCATGATTCACTTACTGTCTTCCTCTGTTGAGTGGGTTCCTTCAGAAATGTAGATTTCCAACTAGGAAGAAAAAATATTAAAAGCAAGATATTTAGAGCATTCCAAGATAATAAGTGTAGTGGAATGTACAATGGACTCAAGAGTCTAGGGATGAAAGCTCAGATTCTATTTCTACTATAAAATACTTAGGAACAAATCCCTCAGATTCTTCTCTAAAACAAGGGCTGAAATGAATAGAATTTTTTATTTTGGTCATCTGAGAAAGGTCTATAGGGGGCATTCTATTTTTTAATACAAACTAATAAAATTTTATACAAATAAGATCTCATATATGTTTTACTCATGGATACCCCTCTCCTGAACTCTAACTCTTCCTCCCAAATCAGTATCTAGACCTGCTCCCTGCTCACCCCCGCCAAGAAAGCTACAGTAATAATCTAGTGTAGTTTGTTCGATATTTTTCTCTATACCACCATAATCTAACCAATTTCACAAACACATACACCCCAAGGTTGGACATTCGTTTTATTTCTTATTTTACAAAAATGGGATCACAGTATATAATTTTCAGTATCTTTTTTTTTTTTTAATCCTCACCTGAGGACATTTTTGCATTTATCTTCAGATAGAGCGGGAGGGGGAGAGAGAGAGAGAGAGAGAGAGAAACATCCACGTGAGAGAGAGACATCGACTGGCTGCTACCTGCATAACCCCAAACGGGGCTGGGGACGAACCACAACCGAGGTACGTGCCCTTAGCGGGAACCGAACCCAACCTCGCTGGTCCATAGGCCGATGCTCTAACCACTGAACTAAACCAGCCAGGGCTATCCTCCTTTTCTCATCCATTTTTATCTTGACAAATTTATTCTCAAGTGCAATACAGGTTAAGCTATCCTTCCTGTTGCTCTCACTCCCTCAGATAAGCTGTCTCTAAGAACCAGAGCTTTTGAGTCAAATCCACAAAATTATTGCAAATCCTGTGGTAAATAAATCATGCTATATGATAAAGACATGCTTATTTTCCAGAGAACAATGGAGCATATGAACTAATTCTTATATACTTATTTACTACTGAGATAAATGTTTTTCATGAGTGAAAAAATCACAGCATATCATGGCTAAAAGAGACCTCAGAAGTCAGCCTTGTTTTTTTTGAGGGGGGCTCCCACCAATAAACAATGATTTGGAAATTTCCAAACCTGCCTAAAGTGTCACTTTCCCAGGCCTAGGCCTCCCCTCCTTTCCAAGCTCCAAATGGCAATGAGTTCTCCCCACCTCCCCCAAGCACACACACTCATACTTCAGGTCATGCCAGAGAACTTGAGTGTCCCCTTCCCCTAGGAGGCTTTACAGCCCTGCGCCTAAAAGCTGGGGTGGCAGCCCTCTGACTTCCCAGTCGACGATGGTGGCCAGAGCCACTTGCATAGATTGAGGCAAGAATATAAGGGAGGAGGTACCAAATAGGGCTCCCTGGAAAACTCCAACTTATCCCGGTACAAACAAGTGGTTCCCACATAGAAGAACCTGCTCCCCAAATAGTGTAAATACCCAAAGGAAAAGGAAAAACCAGCCATGGCCAGTTTGGTTCAGTGATTAGAGCGTCAGCCCTCAGACCAAAGAGTCTCGGGTTCAATCCTGATCAAGGGCACATATCTCGGTTGCTGTTCAGTCCCTGGCCCTGTCTAGGGTCATGTGGGAGGCAACCAATTGATGTGTTTCTCTCACACAGATGTTTGTCTCTTTCTCTTTCCCTCCCTCCCACTCTATCTGAAAATCAATGGAAAAATATGCTCAGATGAGGATTAAAAAAAAGAAAAAGAAAAAACCAGTAGCAAGGCTTGTAGGAATGACAAAGAATTTTGGTTTAGAAAGGCTAGGAAGAGTGTAAGCTGTGCCCCTCTTTCTTGTCTAGCTCCCCAGAGCCAGCTCGGGCACCTGCCCTAAGGGGGAGTCTGTAAACAAGCAAAGCCAATGGCCTTTGGTTTTGAAACCTCTCCTTTACAATGTCAAAGCAAGGCCTCCAGTAGTCCTACTTGGACCTGCCTGCATTGGGCAGAGGCATCTGTTGTGAACCCAATTAAAGCCAATGCATAAAGTAAGTAATAATGCCTTGGGACCAAGCAACAAGGAATTCTATCACTATAGTTATGAAACTAAAGCTGGGAAGCAGAGAGTGACAGGAGCTCCCCTTTACTCCCCTTCCTTATTCTATGTGTCTGCAGCCTCAGATGATGGTCCCTTCCAGGCTAAGAAGAAAGGAAGGGATCCCTGAACAGTTAGGTCATGCGAATTCCCAGAACCTGTTCCGGCCTTCATCGCTGCATCTTGGCAAAGATATGCCTCCCCACTGCTTCCTGGTCCCAGGGCCCTGGTGGTAAAAAGCAGTTTCTCTCTCCTCCTCAGGATTCCCAATCACATCAGTGATGATCTTGAGGTCTCTGTGCTGGGAATGGAGCCACTCTTGGATGAAATCCTGGGGGGAGTCAGTGCTAAAGCTGAGCATGAAATCCCTCTGGGTTGATGGAATCAATGGTCTCATGGCTGTTGACATTAGGGAGGCGATCTCCTACTGACTGGTGGTAGAGGCCAGAAAATTGCTCATCTGGGCCTTGAGTGGGTCATCCACCTCCACATCAATGTCATAACAAGCTGTCTTCTGGTGGTTAGGGTCCATGCTAATGACATGGTTGATGACAATGGGTTTTGGATGTTGCAGCAACCCAGCCAGCTTCATGGAATCTTAAAGAAACGGAATCAACCACAACTGAAGAACTGACGGAAGTAATGGTTGCAGTTGATGTACTCACACTCATGCCCGTCCTGCAGCTGGTTGTGTTTGATGTAAAGCCATTAGGCTTGTACAATGGCAACCCTCATCTGAGTGTGCACTCCCAGCACTCCTGCCAGCAGGGGTCCAACTTGTAATGGGAGGCTGATGATCCAGCAAGGAGCAGCAGGGTGCACTTGACATTGAGGTCTCCAGGCCATTTCACCTGGAAGCCATCCATCTCCTGGGTGGTGCATCCAATGCCACTCCACCAGATGGCTGGTACAGTTCCTTGTCTAGCTCAATGATGAGTCTCTTAAAGAATGAAGAGAACTTCCTCTTCTGTTTGCTAGTATCGTCCAGGAGTTTTCCCTCCACTCAGAGTTCCCAGGAAGCCACCTTGTCCCCTGCTGGGGTTCCCCCAGAGGTCCCTACAGTTCCTGCACTGTCACCTTCTGCCTTGCTGGAAAATATAGATTCATAACTTTCATATTTGTATCAGAGGCTTTTTTTTTTTTAATCCTCACCCAAGGACATTTTTCCATTTTTTGTTCAGATAGAGTGGGAGGGAGAGAGAGAGAGAGAGAGAAACATCGACGTGAAATGGACACATCAAGTGGCTGCCACTCGCACGACCAACCAGGGCCCCAGGGACAAACTGCAACCGAGGTACATGCCCTTAGCGGGAACCGAACCCGGGTCTCTCTGGACCGCAGGCTGACGCTCTAACCGCTGAGCCAAACCTGCCAGGGCTCAGAGGCTTTTTTGATGACCTCCTGAATCTCCATCCGCTTGCGAGCAATGGTCTGGCCCAGCTTCTGCTCAAAAGCCAAGAGTTACATGTACGTCTGAGACTCTGGGACAAGCTTCCGAATTTGCTGAGGTAGAATCTCATCTGCCATCTTCCTCCTCTTTAATCCCCAGTGCTAGCAGGCATCCAGGGCTGGGCCTGAGGTATACACAGGCGTTTTCGGAATGGGTCCATCATGGTGGGTGGCATGCCAGGCTGAAGTAGAGTAGGTATGCCTAAAGGGGACCTTTCAAGGGGTCCTACCTACAAGCCAGCCATGGGCATCCGGCTCCCTGGTGACATGCCAGGCCACCACAGGGCACACAGGGCCCATGCAGCAGAAGGCAGCAGCAGCCCTGGGGGCCCCCCACACCTCCAGCTGGCCCAGGCCCCGAGCACTGGTCCGGGTAGCATGCTGGGTCTGGCTGGTGGATACGGCACTTCCTAGTCCAGTTTTTAAAAAAAGACAAAACACCACATAAATTCCCCTAGTTGTATACTAACTCTTATTCTAGACAGCAAACTAACATATAAAATCAAATCCATACTCTGCCCAGCCAGTGTGGCTCAGTGGATTGAGCATCGTCCATGGACTGAGGTGCCGGTTCGATTCCAGGTCAGGGCACTTGGCCAGGTTACAGGCTCAATCCCCAGTTGGGAGGGTGCAGGAGGCAGCTGATGGATGTTTCTCTCTCACATCAATGTTTCTCTCTCTCTCCCCCTTCCTCTCTTAAAAAAAAAAAAAAAAAAAAAGGCAATAAAAAACATATTAAAATCACTCCATACTCATTTACTTTGGTTTACTTTGGCGAGGATGTGAAGAAATTAGACCTCTCATACACTGCAGATGGAAATGTGAAATGGTGGAGCAGCTGTGGAAACCAGTCTTGCAGTTCCTCAAAAGGTTAAATATAGTTACCATACCCATCAATTTTACTCCTCGGGTGGAAAACAAATGGAAAGATATGCCCACACAAAAACGTGTATACAATGTTCATAGCAGCCCTGGCCGGGTTGGCTCAGCGGTTAGAGCGTCGGCTTGCGGTCCAGAGAGACCTGGGTTTGGTTACCGCTAAGGGCATGTACCTCGATTGCAGTTTGTCGCCGGCCCTGGTTGGGTCATGTGGGTAGCAACCACTCGATGTGTCTCTTTCACGTCGACGTTTCTCTCTCTCTCTCTCTTCCCCTCTCTCCCTCCCACTCTATCTGAACAAAACAAAAAACAAAAAATGTCCTCGGGTGAGGATAAAAATAAAACAAAACAAATGTTCATAGCAGCATTATTCTTAATAGACAAAAAGTGGAAACTACCCAACTGTCTATTAACTGATTAACAAATAAATAATGTGGTATATCCACACAATAGAATAGTATAAGGCTATAAGAAGGAATTAAATACTCATAAAACATATTACAACATAGATAAATTCTGAAAATATTTTTAAATTGATTTTAGAGAGAAAGAGAGAAACATCAATTTGTTGTTCCATTTATTCATGCATTCATTGGTTGATTCTTATATGTGCCCTGACTGGAAATTGAACCCACAACCTTGGAGTATCACGACGATGTTCTACCCAATTGAGCTACCTTGCCAGGGCCTTGAAAATATTTTATGAGAAAGAAGCCAGTCTTAAAAGACCACAAATTATATGATTCCATTTAAATGCAAGGTCTAGAATAAGCAAATCTAGAAACAAAAAGTAGATGAGTGTTTGCCTAGGGATAGGGGAGGGTTTGGGAGAAATGGGGAGAGACTGTTATCATTGCAGAGTTTCTTATTGGGATGATGAAAATGTTCCAAAATTAATAGTAGTAATTTTGCACAATTCAGTGAATATACTAAAAACTATTAAATTGTACACTCTACATAGGTAAATTATATGATAATTTGAATTAAATCTCAATAAACTGTTATAAAACAACAAAAAACATCTTCCTTACCTTATGTTTAAATGGTAAACACCGCTGAAGTTTTACTCTTAAGCACAGCCCTGTGGAGGGGAAAAAAAAGCCCCAATTATCCCTTCTTACTAGTTCTTGAAAAAGCATACAGCTATGTCTAGGTATCTCCGTATAATACAGTAGCTGAAAACAACTTTGGCTCAATCCTTTGTAGGTCTCCTTTGAGCCTCACACCACACTAGCAACTTTAATATTGATATAGTTTTATATATTCCTTATGATAATCCAGTGAACCAGATATTATCAACTCCACCCTACAAACTATGAAACCAAGATCATAATGTAACCTACCCAAGGTCACAGAGCTAGCAGAGTGGCAGAGTTGGGATTGGAACCCAAGACTACTGCAAGGCCCAGATCCTTTCTACTATATCAATTTGCACTGAAGCAAAAGTCAATTCACTCTTTAAATTTCACTGAATGCCCACAACAGGCCGGGCCACATAAAAATTTAAAACCAAGTAACAGCCACTTAAAAAGCACAAGAAATCTTTCAAAGTTGGAATCCTCTATGCCTGCAAGGTACAAAGTTGTTTCCCTAAAACAAGTTTCTCTGCAGTTAAGTTTATCACCCCAATGTCAAGACACAGTTCTATAATTTTTTCCAGTTTGAGACTTGTAAGAGAAATTAAAACTGGGCTTGGAACAGACCCTCAGTGCCAATGTTCCACTGCTCCTCAACCTCAAAATAAGGAATAAATTTTAAACTAAATCTACACCACCAGACATGGAAGATAAATCAAACTGCTCTTATTATGAAGAGAAAGTGTTTCAGTAATTAGTTTTGGCCTTGCATGTTTTCATTTGGAGTAATTTATTTCATTTCCCAACTAATATGTAAGGGCTTGTTATGCTATAAAGAACATTTTTCTTAGTATTTTGTTTGAGTAAAAATAAACAATAGTAACAAAACCTCAAACCATCCTAGCACAGCAAAATATAACTGTTAGACTACCTATCTTTTGGAGAGCTACGGAATTAATTTGCTTTGGTCTTCTAAGTACCATTAGGTTTTCTTTTTTAAAAAATCCTCACCCAAGTATATTTTTCAGACAGAGTGGGAGGAAAAGAGAGAGAAATATTGATGTGAGAGAGAAACATCGATTGGTTGTCTCCCACCTGACCCCAACCAGGGCCGGGGACTGAACCGCAACTGAGGTACATGCCCTTGGCTGGAATCAAACCCAAGACTCTTCAGTCTAAGGGCCAACACTCTAACCGCTGAGCCAAACCGGCCAGGGCCTGTTATGTTTTCTAACAGATTCGTTTGAAAAATCCCAGAATAGGTAAAAGGTTTAGATAAGGTACAATGAGTCTGGGAAGTCTACAACACAGTAATTCCATAATACATATTAGGGAACTCTAAACAAAATACGTAATTTCTCTGAGGGTCTCCCTTTAAAGCAAAGGTCCTCAACCTCCTAATGCCGCGACCCTTTAATACAGTTCCTCATGTTGTATGTGGGTGTATCTGCATGTGGGCAACCCGCCTGGAGAAGGATAGAGGAGTGGTGTCTTGGTTCCTAAGACCATTAGAAATATGTGTTTTCCGATGGTCTTAGGCAACCCCTGTAAAAGGGTCGTTCAACCCCTAAAGAGGTCATGACCCACAAGTTAAGAACCGCTGCTTTAGAGGTTCTGCCTTAAGGTCTATCTGGAGAATTCTTCTTTTCTCTCTATCCCAACATGATCTCCTTAATTTTTTACTTATGTACCATTTGAGCATCCTCGTGTTGTAGTCGTGGTTGGTAGGTGTTTTAACCATTAAGTAATAGTAACTGTTTCACAATTCACAAGAGAGGCAGTGTAGCATAACTGAGATAGATACTATAGGTCCAAAAGTAGTTCCACTACACACTAGCTGTATGATCCTGGGCAAGTTAGTTAACCTTTCTGAGCTTCTGTAAGACACATATTATAATAGTACTGCTCTATTTAGGGTGGTTATGAGGAATAAATAAATAGTTACACAATGTACTTAATAAGTATCCAATAAATGTTAGCTATTATTATTTTATCATTTTCATTTTATAGCCAAGAACCAAGATAAGTGACTTGCTCAATATCACATGGCTAACCAGTGGCAGAACTGGAAGCTGAATCTAGATCTTCTCATTCCAAATCCTATGCCCTTCACGTCAGATCATACCTGCCTTCAGTCCTTGTTTAGTAAGTCAACACAAATGACTATTAGCTGTTTTCTCTGCCTTGTCCACTCATCTCCTTTGAGCCTTCCTTGTCTTTGTAATTACTTACCAGGGAAACTGTTAGTAGGTAACAACCTAAGTAATCAGGGTGGAACCCTTACTCAGGTGCTTTTCCTTGCTTATTCCTAACCTGCTCAAAGAAAATGCCTCCCAATACCTTAGCCATAAAGAAGGCTCTTATCCAGTTTTCCAATCATGTTGATTGAACATAATTACTGTGATACACTACTATACTACCATGTGTAAAGGGCCTTAAATGAAACCTATATCAAAAGAGCTCAAAAAAGTGACAAAACTTTGTACAGATCTAAAATATCAACCATAATCTAGTCTTGGCACCTTTACATAGTTATTTTTATTTTATGTTTGCTCTCAGTCAACATAAACACAGCTTTTCAATAACCGAATAACACTTAAATTCAACTCAACCTTCAAACTTTTTCATATATTTCTCACGCAGATATTTTGATTCCTTAATTACATTAATAATTTTAACAGAAATATAAAATCCCACCATATTGGTGTCATTTAGTAGAGACACTATAGTTTAACAGACACTCTAGTTTCTTCCAAGTTTCATTATTATAAATTTACCATAAATGTTTTTAATATGCCACTGTTTTCTTCTATGGAATTATTTCCTTAATTCCTGGGTCAGAGTAAAATCTTTTTAATAAGGATTTGCTAGTATGTACCCAGAGGGTTAAAAATATTTATATCATATGTCCCAATAATTCCACTTATAAGAATTTATCCTGAGGCAAAACCTAGACATAAAGTTGTTCATCACAGTATTATTTATCATTGTGAGAGACTAGTAGTCTAAATGGCTATAAAAATTATGCTATAATGATGAGATTAGCATGTAGCCATTATGACTATATAATTGAATAAAATTTAATGAGGAATAAAAAACACTCCTCATCTATTTCATGCTTTCTATTACTTAACCCTTATAATTCAGTAGATACCCTATTATCTCTACTTTATAGATGAGAAAACTGAGGCTCACAAAGGTTAAATAACTTGCCCAAGGCCTCAAAATGGCAGGGCTGACGGACCTAAAATTTTAGCCCAAAGCACACCATCTTTTCTTTTCTTTAAAAAGTTTTTTTTCTTTATTGATTTTAGAGAGGAAGGGAGAGGGAAAGAGAGATAGAAACATTAATGAGAGAGAACATCAATTGGCCACCTCCCGCATGCCCCCCACTGGGGATCGGGCCCACAACCTGGGCATGTGCCCTGACCAGGAATTGAACCGGCAACTTCTTGGTGCAAGGATCAATACTCAACCAATGAGCCACACCAGCCGGGCAGAGCACACCATTTTTTTTAACAACTTATTTTTATTTTCTTCCTTATGCTTTTGTAGTGTTTCAAAATTATTGCCAAACATGTTCCTTTTATAATTGAAAGAAACATAAAATGTTACTTTTTGAAAAATCAATTTGCTATAGGCTCTTAGGGGAGAGTAATAAACCATCTATGTAAGGACTCATGTATTTAAAAAAATTGTTTTAATTGATTTGAGAGAGAGAAAGGAAGAGGGATAGAGAGAGAGAGAGAGAGAGAGAGAGAGAGAGAGAGAGACATTGATTTGTTGTTCCACCTATTTATGCATTGATTGGTTGATTCTGTTTTTGGTTAATCCTCACTTGATATTTTTTCCATTGATTTTCAGAGAGTAGAAGGCAGGGAGGGAGGGGGTAAGAAAGAGAGAAAGACATCAATGTGAGAGAGACATGTCAATATTTGTTGTCCCCTGCACGTGCCCTGACTGAGGCCAGGGATCGAACCTGCAACCCAGGTACACACCCTTGACTGGGAATTGAACCCAAGATCCTTTGGTATGGGCTGACACTCTAGCCACTGAGCCACACCAGCCAGGGCATCACTGGTTGTTTCTTGTACCAGGGATCAAATCTGAAACCTTGGGGCATCAGGAAGACACTCTAACCAACTGAGCTATCCAGCCAGGGCTATCAAAACATTTTAAGCCATGTATTTGGCTGGTAGCTCTGTGGTTAGAGCATTGGCCCATTGGGTTGAGGCACATGTTGGAAGCAACCAATCATGTGTCTCTCCCACATCAATGTTTCTCTCCCTCTCTCACCCCCCCTCCCTCCCTTCTACTCTCTCTAAAAAGAAATGGAGCCTGGCCAGTGTGGCTCAGTGGTTGAGCATTGACCCATGCACCAAGATGTCGCTGGTTTCATTCCTGGTCAGGGCGTTTGCCCAGGTTGTGGGCCACATCCCCAGTGGGGGACATGCAGTAGACAGCCAATCGATGTTCTCTCTCATCAATGTTTCTCTCTCTCTCCTCTCCCTTCCTCTCTAAAATTAATAAAGAAAAAATATTAAATAAAAAGTAATGAAAAAAATATCCTCAACTAAGGATTTCAAAAGTATATGTATATATTTTAAGACACCTCTTTCATATCAGCGTAGAAGCAGTACTTTCAATATTCATTGATTCAGAATTTGTCCAATGACAAAAATAAGTATGAATTCAACAATGCTTTTTCTAGCATTGCAATTTATTTATTTATTTACTTACTTACTTATTTATTTTAAATTCTCACCTAAAGATACTTTTTTCTCATTTATATCCAGATAGAGTGGAATGGAGAGAGAGAGAGAAACATCAACATGAGAGAGATGCATCAACTGGCTGCCTCCCGCCCAACCCTGACCAGGGCCAGGAACCAAACCGTAACTGAGGTATGCACCCGACTGGAATTGAACCCGAGACTCTTTGGTCCACAGGCCAGCTCTCCAACCACTAAGCCAAACCAGCCAGGGCTAGCATTGCAATTTTAATAACCACAACAGTATCTACGGTTTAACAGACCTTTAAGATATAGCCCATATGCTTGAAACCACTAACAGAGGGATCCCAGGTCAAGAAGTGAGAAGAGAAATAGAGAAATCATAACAATAGTGGGAGCAATAATTAAATATTTACCTTTTCAATTCTTTTTATAAATTTGTCAATATATAGATATGTCTATATATCTAGATATCTAAATACATAGATATTTTATTGATCTTAGGGAGGGGGAAGAAGGAAGAGCAAAACATTGATGTGAAAGAGACACATCGATAGGTTGCCTCCTGCAAGCACCCCTACTGGGGATGAAACCCACAACCTAGGAATGTGCCTTGCCCAGGAATTGAACCTAAGACCCTCCAGTAAATGGGACTGTGCTCCAACCGAGTCACACTGGCCAGGGCTAAATGTGTCTATTTTTAAATAGGCAATATATTCCCATGGTTTAAAAACCTAAAATTAGCCCTGGCCAGTTTGGCTCAGCAGTTAGAGCATCAGCCTGTGGTCCAGAGACCGGGGTTCAGTTCCCACTAAGGGCATGTACCTTGGTTGCAGTTTGTCCCTGGCCCTGGTTGGTCGTGTGGGTGGCAGCCACTTGATGTGTCCCTTTCACATCGATGTTTCTCTCTCTCTCTCTTCCTCCCACTCTATCTGAACAAAAATTGGAAAAATGTCCTCCAGTGAGGATTTAAAAAAAAAAACCTAAAATTATAGGGTGGGGCAAAAGTAGGTTTACAGTTGTGAATATGTGAAACAGAGTTTATTCTTATTTATTAATTATTGTATTCTTTTTTTTATCCTCACCCGAGGACATTTTTGCATTTATGTTCAGATAGAGTGGGGAGGGACAGATGGAGGAAGAGAGAGAGAAAAACATCATATATATATATTGGGGAAGTAGCCTCTCAAATAGAAAACTACCTCAAAAAATAGTCTCCTAGCAGGACTCCTGCCCATACTATGCAGATGCCCATAAAACAGCTAAAAGGAGAAAATGGTGATGGCAGCAGTGCTAGTCTGACAGCACCCATTTCAATCTGTGAAACTAAGAAGAGAAGATGGTCCACATCCACTCTCCATTAATTGGAGGCATGTACATCTAACAAAAGCACCATGATATAACTAAAGGAGAAACACATTTGAAGCCTGGCGACCTGGGTTTGAGCCTCAGTTTCACCATTTTTTGGCTATATGATTCTGAGCCAAAACTCTTTGAACTTCTGGCTCCTCATGTAAAAAGAAGATGTTAACTCTTTGGTGAATTGTGAGGACTACAAAAGATAAATACAGTCGTTCCTCGGTATCTGAAGGGGTCTGGTTCCAGGATGCCCCAATATACCAAAATCCATAGATGCTCAAGTACCTTCTATAAAATGGCATGGGTTTTTTTTGTTTTTTGTTTTGCCTCGTTGCTTCCGAGTGAACAAAATGGGTCACCAGCAACTCTACTGGAGCCATCCAACAAAATTCGGCCAGGGTTCCCGTTCTTGCCGTGTCTGCTCAAACCGGCACGATCTGATTCGGAAATACGCCCTCAGTGATTCAGTCAGTATGCGAAAAACATTGGCTTCATTAAGTTGAACTAAGTGAACTTCCATGAATGGGCCACTCAAGACATCTACCTTCGTACAGAATGCTCTCTCTCTGTACATAAAATAAAAATTAAAAAAAAAAAAAAAAAAAAAGATGGCATGGTATTTGCATATAGCCTATACACATCCTCTTGTTTACGTAAATCATCTCTAGATTATTTATAATACCTAACACAATGCAAATGCTATATAAATAGTTGTTATATTGTATTATTTAGGGAACAATAACAAGAAAAAAATGTCTGCACATGTTGAATACAGATGCAGCCATCTTAGGCCTAACTATGTAGTACTTTTCAGAATGTAACTTATTTTCCCCAAAATATTTTTGATCCCTAGTTAGTTGAATTCATAGATGTGGAACCCACAAATATAGGCCAAGTGCACAAAAAAATTCTCAGGCCCTGGCTTGTGTGGCTCAGATGGTTGGGCAACATCCCGTGCACCAGGGGTTGCCAGTTAGATTCCCAATCAGAGCACATGGCAGGGTTTCAGGCTTGATCCTTGATAGGGAGCATGCAGGAGGCAGCTGATCAATGTTTTTCTCTCTCTCCTTTTTCCTCCATTTCTCCCTTCTTCTCTCTCTAAACATCAATAAAAATATCTTTAAAAAACTACTCTGTAGCCCTGGCCGGTTTGGCTTAGCGGTTAGAGCGTCAGCCTGCGGTCCTGAGAGACCCGGGTTCGGTTCCCGCTAAGGGCACGTACCTCGGTTGCAGTTTGTCCCTGGCCCTGGTCGGTCGTGCGGGTGGCAGCCACTCGATGTGTCCCTTTCACATCGATGTTTCTCTCTCTCTCTCTGTTCCTCTCTCTCCCTCCCACTCTACCTGAACAAAAAAATGGAAAAATGTCCTCGGGTGAGGATAAAAAAAATTTTACAAAAACTACTCTGTAAACCATAAAGTTGTGATACATGATGCTAATTGTTACTTTGGATCAATATCAGCTAGAATAAATTAGAATTAAAATATATATATATATATACACACATACACTCTCTTACCAATAAGAGTCGCCAAAGAGCAATGAGGTACGGTTGGTGTGAACCTGATAATAACCAAATAGTCCTCTTCATTTATCTCCTGAACCTCCACACAACTTTCTGTTACCACTTCCAGTTCTTCCAAAGTGTTGGGCTTCTCTGGGTCCCGGATAGTTCGAATCAAATCTAAAAAATCATCACAGATAAGGTATTATGTAAAAACATGAATATTCTAAATATGTATGATTTTGCCAGTCCTAAACAAAAAACACTCTCTTTTTTTTTTTTTTTTATCCTCACCTGAGGACATTTTTTGATATTTTGTTCAGATAGAGTGGGAGGGGGAGAGAGAGAGAGAAACATCGACATGAAAGGGACACATCGAGTGGCTGCCACCCACACGACCCAACCAGGGCCAGGGACAAACTACAACCGAGATACGTGCCCTTAGCAGGAACCGAACCCGGGTCTCTCTGGACTGCAGGCCAACGCTCTAACCGCTGAGCCAAACTGGCCAGGGCAATTTCCCAGATTTCCGACAGAAATTTCCACTACCAGTTTCCTTTTGAGAAAACTGTTTTTCTTGGATTATTCGATCATATCCAGTGCCTCGGATTCAATATTGCAGAGAGAATATAAGAATGGGGAAAGTGTCATAGAAGCTCAATGGGAAGAAACAACTTTTAGCTTAGGAGAATGTAATATCGGAACTTATGGAAGTGGAATCTGAATCAGGCCTTTAAAAATGGGTAACATTTCAATGGCTCTCTCTATGGATCACGCCAGTGCCTTTCCCCACCCTCTTCCCCCAGGCTTTTTCCTTGCCTCTTTCTCCTAAGGCAGCGGTTCTCAATCTGTGGGTCATGACCCTTTTGGGGTGGAACGAACCATCGAACCATCGGAAAACACATATTTCCGATGGTCTTTAGGAACGGAGACACAGCTCCTCTATCCGTCTCCAGGCAGGCCCACCCACATGCAGATACGCCCACATACAATATAAGGAACTGCATTAAAGGGTCATGGCATTAGGAAGGTTGAGAACCACTGTAATAAGCCTAAGGACCCTTTCTTCTGCCTCTATAATTTGTTCCCTGACCCCATGCATCTCAGTTGGTTCACAGCTCACTCTTTCTACCTCTGTGACTTTCTTTTGTTTGTTTGTTTGTTTGTTGTTTTTGGTACGTGCCCCTAGCGAGAACCAAACCTGGAACTCTCTGGTCCGCAGGCCAATGCTCCAACCGCTGAGCCAAACCGGCCAGGGCCTCTATGACTTTCTAAATAAACTTTTGTTTGTATTTGACTAAAATAATTTAAAATTTTAAAAAAATGGGTAACATTTTGCCCTGGCCGGTTTGGCTCAGCGGTTAAAGCACTGGCCTGCGGTCCAGAGAGACCCGGGTTCGGATCCCACTAAGGGCACGTACCTCAGTTGCAGTTTGTCCCCGGCCCTGGTTGGGTGGTGCAGATGCTGGCCACTTGATGTGTCCCTTTCACATCGATGTTTCTCTCTCTCTTTCTTCCTCTCTCTCCCTCCCACTCTATCTGAACAAAAAATAGAAAAATGTCCTTGGGTAAGGATTAAAAAAAAAAAAAAGGGTAACATTTCAATATTCAGCATTTAAGGTGAAAGAAAGCAAAGAACCAGAAGTGCAGTTTACCTAGAACCCAGCATAAATGAAGAGGATGTTAGAGTTTGGGCCAAACCACCAAGGATCTTTTGGGGACAGCTACAGGCAGTAGGGTGTCCTCGAGAGGTCTTGAACAAAGGAGTGGCATGGACAGCATTACACTGTCACCTGGTAACTCATCCACCAGCTGACAGACACAGAACTAAAAAGCAGAGCCATGGATACCAGCTGGAAAAGCTGGGCCTAAAACAGGCACATAAAAATGGTAACAGAGAGGAGGAGACAGGGAAGAACTCGTTTCTGAGACACAATCAACAGAATTTGACAACTGTTTAAATGTAGAGGAGAAGGAAAGGGAGAAAAGGAAGATGACTCAGATTTTTTTTTTAATTCTCACTTGAAAATGTTTACTGATTTTAGAAAGGGAGAGAGAAAGAAACATCAATGTGAGAAATATCAATCAGTGTATGCGCCCCAAACAGGGATCGAACCCATAACCTAGTTATGTGCCCTGACCGGGAATCAAACCCAAAAACCTTTTTGGTGTACGGGACAACACTCTAACCCCAACCAGGGTAATGACTCAGATTTTAATTGTAAGTGTCTGAGAGAACACTAATAGAATAAAACAACAGAGAGCATAGGAATACATTTGAGTGGGGGCTGGGACAAATGGTATTAATTTTATATATGATTTTGCTTCAGGAGCAAACCACTGGTACATTCAAGCAAACACTGGACCGTGCTTGACATAAGGTTTAAGAGAGCATCAAGGATAGAGTGGTTGTTGAATCTATGAGATTCACAGGAAGAATAAGTAGAACAGTAGTTTTCAACCTACTGGCTGAACAATGAAATCACCAGGAATCTTTTAAAAAAACAAAAACTAATGTCTGAGCCCTACCTCCAGATATTATGGTTTCACTGATTTGTAGTATGGCCTGGGCACTGACACTTTAAGAAATTCCTCAGATTATTATGTGTAGCTCAGTTTGAGAATTACTAATGTAAGAGACCCAAAGATAGATCTGTGGAAAGCACCTAATTTAGGCATCAGGAGGAGGAAGAAAAACAAGAAACAGAGAAGGGAAGACAGGGGTGGTTAACATCAAGTGCTGCAGAAAAATTCAGATTGACAGGAGCTAAAACAGGTCTTTCATTTTGTCACCCAGGAGGTCACCTGTGAAAAAGCAGTTTCAGTAGGGAGGTGAAGGCAGAAGAAGCCAGTTTGCAGACAGGAAAGTGAGTGGGAACTGAAAAATGCAGTCCTAGAGCTGTGGCAGGGAAGGGAAAGGCAGAGAAAGGACAGTGCGTTTAGAAAAAGCTATAACAGTGACAAGATAAAGAAAACTTGAGTGTGTTTTATAGCCCAAGGGGAAAGATCAAATAAAGGAAGAGAGACTGAAATTAAGGAGGGGCAGTAGGAAGACTGGTAAAATAGGCAGAAAGGAGTAAGACCAAGGATATGGAACCTGGGTTTGGCCTTGGGGAGGACAGATTTACTTCTTACTCTGATGTAGAAAAAGATGCAAAAAGATAATGATAAAGAGAAATGGTAAAGTAGAAAGATCACAAGCAGAGGGAGCTCACAGAGAATGGGCTTGATGTTCTTAAGCCTGAGATTTTGTTCTATTATTTATGGCATCTCTGCAATCAGAAATGCAGCTGGGAAAAACAGTCAATCAAATTTACCAAACTCCTGGCCTATTCCCTTGATTAGAAACAGAATTTGAAAATACAAGCAAGAAAAAGAGGACACAGCTTCTCCTTCACAAGGCTGTGTCATCATGGAGCTCAGAGAAACAGGGTTTTTTGAAAGGGAATTTGCTGCCCCCTCATCCTATTTCTTTTCCCTGTAAGGCTCATTTTATACAGGCTACATTATATTCTTTATATGCTACTTAACACTGAAATTAAATCCCACCCCTTATTAAACGTCTCCAGTTTTCTAGTTATTTGAGATTTAGATTTACTTCTTTTAGAAAGAAAGCAATGTTGCTCTCACATTACTCCCCTGAATAAAATTCTTCAATGATTCTGGACTGATATTAAAATCTTCATTTATATGTAACCTTCAGAATCCAATTCCAACCTACTATCTAAAACAATTTTTAACCATACCACTTTTAACCACAAACCCTATCCTATCCCCCTATTTACCATTCCCCAAACATACTATTTTCTTACCTCCACACTTTTGTTCTAGTTTCCTCTGTTTAGCATGCCCTTTACTCTCTATATGTCCAGAGCCTACTAATTCTTTAAGGCCCAACTCAAGTGATTCCTTCTTAGTCTTTCCAGATCCCCTAATCAGAAATGGTATCTCTCCTTCCTCTAAATTTCTGTGTTTCAGGTCTACAGCCTTCTACTGCATAAATAAAATATGTATATATTTATATATATTTGTCCTCCTCAAAGTAACTTTGAAGGCAAGAATAATCATCTCTCTTCCAAAGCTGTATCCCCAGTGCCCTGCTGTTACTAGAAGACATAGTAGAGGCCTGACAGGACACAAAGGTGTCCATCTGATTCGTGGAAGTCATTTCACTCATATTGATCGTTGGGTGGGGTTGGTTAGGTCCTGCCTCTGGCAAAAGAGAGGTAAACTAGATCAGCTCCAAAAGTTTTCTCCATCCCTAACTTCCTTTTCCTGGTCTATAAGCCTTACCTGTATTACATTTGTATTCTTTTTTTTTTTTTTTTTTTTTTTAATCCTCACCCGAGGATATTTTTCCTTTTTTTTTTCTCAGATAGAGCGGGAAGGAGAGAGAGGAAGAGAGAGAAACATCGATGTGAAAGGGACACATCGAGTGGCCGCCACCCACACAACCCAACCAGGGCCGGGGACAAACTGCAGCCAAGGTACATGCCCTTAGCGGGAACCGAACCTGGGTCTCTGTGGACCACAGGCTGACGCTCTAACCGCTGAGCCAAACCGGCCAGGGCTACATTTGTATTCTTATGGTTATATCTTTTACCCTCCATCAGCAGGATTCTCTGAACATTAGTTAAATCCACTCTTTTTAGTTTTCAAAAACAATACTAAAAGGAAGAGCCATAAGGCAATTGTGAAGTGGTGGGAATGCACTAAGTTTGGAATTAGAATACATGGGCTTTATAGTTTTTCCTTACTGGCAGTGTAACCTCCAGGTAACTGAGTAACCATTCTAAACCTTTGTTTCCTCATCTGTACTATGAAGATGTTCCCTGGGGTTAAAAAGAGAAAGAAGTATGTGTGTGAGAGTGTTTTCTTGTTTTGCACTACAGGCTTGGCTGTTTTAAGGAACTGTTAAGTTCGAGGACTGGCTACGAATAAAATCTATCTCGACCGCTTCTCACGGGGACCTCTGCCTACTGCCTTTGCAGAAGAAAGTGGCTGTGACCTTGGGCCAGTCCCCAACTTGGCAGTCACAGAGCAGTGCCTTCAATGATGGCAGCAGGAGTGTCCAAGGATAGGAAAGAAAGAGGCTCAAGTAGTGCAACCAGGCCAGCTCTGCTTTCTAACCAAGCAACCTAGACGCCAGCTCTGCCACTAGGACGTGGGGCAAACAAGGGAAATGAAGCGTTTAAGACTTCCAGACTTGGCTTACTCCGGGTTTAGGAAGAGCCCGGGTCCTAAAAAGACCCACATTGCCGCGTTACTTAAAACCCCGAAGAAAACGCTTCCCACGCTCCCGAGGACAGCCGGCAAAAACCCGAGTTGCCACTCCCAGCCCTCAAGTGAGGCCCTGGTTCCCCCCAGCCTCCATATAGAACGCCAAGTACTGCCCTAGGTAAAATTAATTACCATAAACCTCTAGCGCTTTCTCTTCCATGATCCGGGGCTGCCGGGCAGCGCCCCGCTCAAAGAGGCCCGAGAGCCACAGGACCCTGTTGAGCGTCCAGGAGAGCAGCCCCGACACCCGCTCCATCCTCATACTCCGCCATCCCTGGCGACTGTCCCACCCGAGCCGCCGTCTTTCAGCAGCTGGCCTCGCGATTTATCAACTTCCTGGTCTTCAAACCGGCGAGGTCTTCAAACCGGCCAAGTCAAGACCAAAGGTTCAGGAGAGCAGAAAATGGGCGGGTCCGCACGGAGTAGCGCGGAGAACCAAGGGAAGGGCACCGCAAGGACCACAAACTCCAGCATGCTTTGCTCTATTTCAGCGGGACTAGGAAAAAAAATTCCTCGCGGCACGTGAGGCGCATTGCATGCTGGGATGTATGGGACCTCTCCCCCCCCCCTTTTTTTTCCCCCCGGAAAACAGCTGTATTCTGGGAAGTGTAGTCTTCGCTGGGGAAGAAGGGGTGGTTTGTAACGGTCTATTTATTTACTCACTACTGATTGCTTCACTCAGCGCCCTCCATAAACTAAATATGACTAAAGATGAATCCCGAAGAGGTAGGGGACAAGAGATCTTGATTTCTAGTCCTGGAGTAGCGTGTGCACGGAGACTTTTACTATTTCTCCGAGGAAGCCGCTTCCATCCAAAGGTTTTACTTCCTTAGGCCGGAAGTGAGTTTCCCTTGCGGTGAAACGGGATGTCCTAGGAGCCTAGTGAAGGATGGTTAGACGTGGCGGGGAGACGGGAGGCCTTTTTAGTTTTCTCGTCTCATAGGGATTTAGGCCAACACAACTTACCACTACAGGCTGACTATCCTGCCAATTGCCTTAAAGACAACATAGAATGAGAGCTTTCCCTATGTCTAGTGCATCCAATAGTGACATTGTAGATGATCCCGAAAAAGAATGTTTATAAGCTTCCTGGTGTTCATTCATGGCCATTATGGACGACAGTAACAAGGTTGATGATGTTAACAGTTTTATCCACCCATCCCTCCAATCAAATCTCAAACATTTATCGGGTATTTAATTTGCCGGGTTTGGTCTATAGGCGCCAAGGATAGGACAGGGCCCCAGCCTTCCAGTAGCTAACAGATCTGTGGAGGAGCCAACCCTTGATGTTGAGGTTTCTGCAGTTAAAAACAAACTAAGCCTTTTGTCAAAGGTGATGCCAAGTTTTTTCTCGTCTATTTTGAGGAAAAAGTCAGGATTATCTTGCAGAATTATTCCATGATAAACTATCCCATTTATGTTTTCTAGCTGATTTAGATTTTAGACTCACCAGACAACCAGTGAATAGTGTAGGTCCCAGGAAGATTTTGTTCAGAGTTTAATAACTTCCCTGCCATCTGCTCTACTTCATTTACTCCACACCAATTGAGAGAATAATCCTAACTTCCTTGCAACCAAATTTAGGACACAGGTTTCATTTCCTCTGTGAGGCCTCTCTCGACATCAACAAATAGAATCCATGATCTCTCTTACTGTGCTGGCACAGCAAATTACAGCACTCAACGTATTGAGTTGTTAATTTACATGCCTGTCTCCTTCAAGCGCCTAGTGGGCCAGGAGCTTCTTTATTTCGATGGCTCAGATGCACAGCAGGGTGCCAGGCACACCGTAGATGCTCAATATATATTTCTTTTTTAATCCTCACTCGAGGACATTTTTCCATTTTTTGTTCAGATAGAGTGGGAGGAAGAGAGAGAGAAACATGGACGTGAAAGAAACACATCAAGTGGCTGCCTCCCTCACGACCCAACCGGGGCGGGAACAAACTGCCACCAAGGTATGTGCCCTTAGCAGGAACTGAACCCCCAGTCTCTCTGGACCGCACGCCGACGCTCCAACGCTGAGCCAAACCGGCCAGGGCAATATATAGTTCTTGAATGAATTAACTAAATGTTGTCTAAAGAATAAATGCCGAGACTTTACTGCAATCTGTTCAAAGACCTCAATCAAAAATACTTATTGAAGCTCTATGAGGGCATTATGCTTGGCATGGGTAGCTGGCATGCCTTTACTCAGACCACATCTCCTTAAGAAGCTTGTTAAAGCTATGCAAAGCATAGCAGCCCTGGCTGCCTGAGCAGTTCCTGTCTCCTTTTCTGCCCTTTGCCCTCGTGGTTAAGATCTCAGCTTCGGGATCCAGGAATCAGAGGCAGGAGCTGCGAGCCAGCCTGGCGCCCGCCCCCAACGCCTAAGTCCCGCCCCCAGCACCAAGGCTCCCGCGGCGCGTTCAGCTTGGTTGGTCGCGGCCACCCACTCCTTGCTCCGCTGGAGCGATTTGCTCACGGCGCTTTCTCTCTATAAAGTTGTTGTTGCGGCTTCCGCCGCTGGTGGAGGAAGATGGCGTCGGGTGGTGGTGGCTGTAGCGCTTCGGAGAGACTCCCTCCGCCTTTCCCCGGCTTGGAGCCGGAGTCCGAGGGGGCAGTCGGGGGTTCAGAACCCGAGGCTGGGGACAGCGACACAGAAGGGGAGGATATTTTCACCGGCGCCGCGGCGGCCGTGAGTTCACACCCTTTGGGGCGGCCAGGGGGTGGGCGGGCTCCCCAAAAGGGACAAGAGGCTAAGTGAGGGTCAGGGAGGCTGTACAGCGTGGACCCGGCGAGACCTTGCGATGGTGACAGTTGTCGTGGCTTGGGGGCGCTAGATGAACGCCGAAACCCAGGGCCTGGCTTTCCGGCCCCAGGGCGGCCGGTGAGGAGTGAGGGGTGTGGTGGCTTCTCTGCCTAGGTCCATGACTGCGAAGAGCGGCCGAGGCCCACATTTGGCCCTGCCTTGTAGTGACCTCTCCGGTCTCACGGAGCTGTTTTGCAGATCGTTTCCTGCAGGGCTGATTTAATAAGTCAAGATAAGCGCATGGGGTGCAGACTTTTTCTCGCCTACTGCTCCGAGGATGAATAATGTTATCTGGAGTGGCCCAGGATAGTGACCCGCCCACAAATCATTTCATTAGCCCAACACTTACCGGTAATTACCAAAGGACCTTTCTGGATCTTGGATTATTTTTTAAGAGTTAGGGTGACTCCTCTGATCTCTAGGAAAATCCTGCCAGAGGTCGCTTGGAAAAAAAAAAAGGCCCTGCCACATAAATCACTACATATTACCACAAGCTTTGTCCCTTTTTTAAAGGGATGTGTTCAAGTGCCTAAGTATCTTAGTGAGAAATCTGTAAATGTGAGACGGAAACTGTGTTTCCCATAGTAATACCTAGGTTTCTAGTAAGAGTTCGGTATTGGGCCTGGCTGGTGTGGCTCAATGGTTGTGCGTGGACCTACACACCAAGAGTTCACACTGGTTTGATTCCCGGTCAGGGCACTTGGCTTGGGTTGCTGGCTTGACCCTCAGTAGGGAGCGTGCAGGAGGCAGTCAATCCATGTTGATGCGTCTCTCATGGATTTTTCTCTCTCTCCCTCTAACTTCCTCTCTTTAAAAAAAATCAATAAAAACATTTTTTAAAAAAAGAGTTCTGTATTGGGAAAAACTAATCTTTGTATGTGGAACGTGGAAATAAGTTCTAGAACCAGTGGAGATGTTTTGAACTCTTTTGTAAGAATACTGGTTCATACCACTTGCTATAGTTTTTTCCAGGTTGAAAATGTTTTCAGTATTAGGTCTGTGAATTTATGTGTCTTTCTGTTTTGGATAATGCTTCTCTTTGTAGTAGGTACTCTGTATATCAGTGATTAATAAAACAGCTTTAAATTCTTTATGCAGTATGTGTCTGAAACAGTTGGAGGCTTGTCTCATTTTTCAGTATGGAGGTTCTGAATGAGTCACCCCAAGATGTGCCTCTGTGGTATGCAGATTGTTTTAAGCTAAAGGCAACTTTAGCTTCTGGCTCAAGAGAAACTTCTGCCCCTACGGGTAAGAACTTGAATTAGGGGCCTTCCCCTGAATAACAGATCTGTAGGGCAGGACAAAATTCTATTTACTAAGCTTCTGTTCTTATCATCCTGCAATAACCCTTTGAAGCCCACAAGGCACTTTACCTCATTCCTAGCTCAGGATGTCCTATATACCCATGTTCCTTTTTTTTTTTTTTTCCTTTATTGATTTGAGAGAGAGAGATAGAAACATTGATGAGAGAGAACATCGATTGACCACCTCCTGCACGCCCCCCACTGGGGATTTGGCCCACAACTTGGGCATGTGCCCTGACTGGGATTCGAACCTGTGACCTCTTGGTACATGGGTCAACACTCAACCACTGAGCCATACCAGCTGGACCCCATGTTCCTTTTCTATCTCTGAACCTTACCTGCATGTGGGGGTCTCTGACTCTCTTATGTATGCGAGGTTCCCATACATATTAAATTTGGTTATTTTCTGTTGCTAATATGTCTGGTGTATATTTGACCAGCCAAAAGAACCTTGAGGGTAGAGTAAAGTTTGTTCCTCCCCCACATCAGAAAAAGGTTAAGTTTCTTGGAAATATCTTCTATGACAATCATTAGAATTTTCCCTGTACTGTATTTAGGAATTGAGTCCATAATCCAGCTCAAAAAGCATATGCTGCCCTGGCCTGTGTGACTCAGTTGATTAGAGCATCTTCCCCTACAGTGAAAGGTTGCTGGTTCGGTTCCCAGTCAGGGCACGTACCCAGGTTTTGGGTTCACTTGTAAGGAAGGCAACCCATTGATGTATCTCTCTCACATGCATGTTCTCTCTCCCTCTACCTTCCTCTGTCTCTAGAAGCAATGAAAAACATATCATCAGGTGGGGATTTAAAAAGAAAAAAAAGGCATTTGCTGATGCTAATATTACAGCTCAAACTGTTTAGTGAAGTCCCTTATTTGAGAAAGAACTCTTGCTGCTAATTGAATCTTTCTGTATCCCATTTAAAACAAATCTTTATTCCTTTAATAATTCTTCCATATGTCATGGAGAAGCTCCTTTTGATAACTGCTGGGATTATAGATATTCAAACTGAATATCCAAAATAGAAACTCTGGCACTGAAAGTGATCGGTCACACAGACAAATGATGACTTATTTTTAAGAAAAGGACCCTGGGAGGGTGAGGAGTTATTTTCTAGAGTTACCTTAAAAAGTTCCAAGAGGCTATGATTTGATTGATCTAACCAGATTATTTTACAGGTGCATCAATACAGTATTTCTCTCTTGTAGGACCATGAAAATACTTTGCCTAATTTCCAACCAAGGGCAGAAAAAGGAGGTTAGAATGACCTTGTAATTATAAAGAATAATTATTATTAAGGTTTTGATTCAGGAAAAAAGAGTTGCTGAGGAAACCAAAATGCCACTGGTGAGCCATTTTTTTGAGCTGCCTGTTCTGCTGTTAATCTTCCGGAAACCAAGACCCCTATCTGTGAATTTCTAGTTAAATAGCCATTGAATACAATTCATATTTCAATACATGCTTTAGTTGTGAGTCAATGTGAAAAGATAGGGGATTGCATTGCTTCTGTATCTTAAGGAACAACAATGAAAAATAAAGTGATTAGCCCAGCTGGTGTGGTTCAGTGGTTTTGTCAACCCATGCACCAAGAGGTCGCTGGTTCGATTCCCAGTCAGGGCACATGCCCAGGTTGTGGGCCCAGTCCCCACCCAATCGATGTTCTCTCTCATCAATGTTTCTGTCTCTCTCTCCCTGTCCCTTCCTCTTTCTCTCCAAAATCAATGAAGAAAAAAAAGTTAAAAAAAAAAAAGAAGAAGAAGAAAGTAATTAGGAGCCCAGGCTTTGAAATCTGACTTAAAGCCAGGCTTGGTTATTTGCTAGCTTAATCTTGAGCAAGATACTTAATTATTTAATTACCCTGTACAGTTTCCTCACCTATAACATGTGAATAATAATAGTATTTACCTCCACCTATTTTGGTGAGGACTGAATTAGAATATGTACCTGTAAAACACTTAAAACAATTGAGCATTTTGTAAACTGAAATTACTTAAAGAATTAAAAAAACCCATAAAAATCTAATAATGGATTACAAAGTTAATTAACTCCAAAATGGTTAATATATTTTGTCAAAATCAAACTAGTAAAATTGATTTGATTAGCTAGAAGTCATCAAAGTAGGCATCTTACTGATTTAAGTTTATCTTTATATTGTGTTTTGTTGCATGTTGGAGGCAAAGAGAGGAACATTAAATAACTGGAAAGCTGGGACATAAAATTTAAATCTCATTTATGGTATGTGTAATTTTCTGAACATTGATGTAACAGCTGCTGCTGTTAATCATCCCATCTGCTCTCTTTTACAGCCCAAGGGGCTTTGTTAACCTGTTAACCGAGCGGGACGTATAAATACGTCAAACTTGCATACAGTGAAAAGGGAATTCCCTAGTTAACAGGTTAATACAGTAATAAAAGTGTAATTTGATTTATAATTGAAAGGACAGCCCATGATAATAATGAATCTCAGAATCTACAAGGAGAGACTGGAGTTAAAAGAATTATTAAAATAAATATAAAGTCATTGCTTTAAAACTGAAAACCAGCTTCTGGAAGGCCTGATTCTTAAGAACACTTAAGACATTATCTTCTTTCTGCCTCTTTCCTTACGGGCCTATAAATAAAAAGGTCTAAAATCCAAAGTATATTATCTGAATTTTTGATGTGGACTTGAACCCAGATATGTATCTTTTTAGTTAAAACTTTCTTAGTTCTGGGATAGGATTAATTTTTTTCTTAACAAAACTGGAGACTAAACTGGAGCCATTCTTTGGCTCTCCTCATTCTTAAAGTTATTATGTTAAAAACTATAAAATGACATATGTACTTGTACACTTTATTTGACATCATTGGTCTTATTTGAATATTTCTTTTTTAATTTTTTTATTGATTGATTTATTGATTGAGAGAAAGGAAGGGAGAGAGAGATAGAAACATTGATGAGAGAGAACATCGATTGGCCACCTCCTGTAGGCCCCCCCACTGGGGATTTGGCCCCCAACCTGGGCACATGCCCTGACTGGAAATCAAACCGGCGACCTCTTGGTGCATGGGTTGACATTCAACCACTGAGCCACACTGTCTGGGCCACAGTCATTTTTAATTGTATATTTCAGTAGTGTTAAGTATATTCACATTTTTCTGAAACATACCTCCAAAACGTTTTCATCTTGCATTTCTGAAACTATACTCATTAAACAACTTCCCCTTTCCCCTCTTCCTTTAACCTCTAGTAGCTCTCATTTTGCCTTCTGTTTCTATAAATTTGACTACTTTAGATAACCTTATATAAGTGGAATCATGCAGTATTTGTCTTTTTGTGACTGATTTATTTCACTTAGCATAATGTCCTCAAAGTTCATTCATGTTGTAGCATGCATCAGAATTTCCTTTTAAGGCTGAATAGTATTCCATCATATATGTATATATACCACATTTGTTTATCCATTCATTTTTTTTTAATCCTCACCCGAGAACATTTCTCGATATTTTGTTCAGATAGAGTGGGAGGGAGGGAGAGAGAGAAACATCGACGCAAAAGCGGCACATCGAGTGGTTGCCACCCACACGACCCAACCAGGGCTGGGGACAAACTGCAACCGAGGTACGTGCCCTTAGTGGGAACCGAACCCGGGTCTCTCCGGACCGCAGGCCGACGCTCTAACTGCTGATCCAAACCGGCCAGGGCTATCCATTCATCTTTAATGGACATTTGGGTTGCTTCTACCTCTTGGCTCTTGTGAATAATGCTGCTATGAAAATGAATGTGCAAATATCTCCTCAAGATCCTGCTTTCCAATTCTTTTGGATATATATACTGAGAAGTGGGATTACGGGATCATATGATAGTTCTATTTTTAATTTTTTGAGGAAACTCCATGCTGTTTTCTATAGCAGTTGTACCATTTTGCATTCCTATCTCAGCTCTTTTTTTTAAGACCAGTTTATTTTCCATTTGAGTGCTTATAGGATAACTAATTTATATCTGGACAGAATTTGGTAACTTTATTAAAAACCCTAAGGTGATTGATAGTTTAGCTGGTTAATATCTTAATTTTCTGTTCTATGAAATATATGATGACGGTTCCCAAAGGTGTACTACATACTCAGTAAGTTTCTCTATACTATCCCTTCTCTGTTCCTAATCAGCTGAAAGGTAATCTACATAACAGTAATTTTTTTAAATTGATTTTAGAGTGACACAGAGAGTCAGAGACATTGATCTGTTGTTCCACTTATTTATGTGTTCATTGGTTGATTCTTCCATGTGCCTTTACTGGGGATCAAACCCGTATCAGTACGATGCTGTAACAAACTGAGCTACCCGGCCAGGGCTACATAGTAGTAATTTAATTTAATTTATTTTTAAACTTTTTTCTTCTTTATTGATTTTAGAGAGAGAGGAAGGGAGCAGAGAGAGATAGAAACATTGATTGGCCGCCTCCTGCATGCCCCCCACTGGGGTTTGGGCCCACTGCCTGTGCATGTGCCCTGGCTGGGAATTGAACTGGCGACCTCTTGGGTGTGTGTGTCAATGCTCAACCACTGAGCCACACCAGCTGGGCTATAGTGGTAATTTTAAACAAAGGTTTATTGCTTAAGTTCTTTAGTTAATGGTATAGTCATTTACAACTTACATTAGTAAATAGTCATGGGTAAGTGCACCTCTAGTGTGTAGTAGTTTTGTTTTCCTCTTTTTCTTCTCTCGTTCTCGTCTTTTTTTCTCCCTTTTCTTTCTGTGTGTAGTATTTTCTGTGTAGGCATATTGACTCAAACACTTCTTGTTTTTAGAGCTAACATCACAGGTGGTCAGGTCTGGTCAAAAGATCATAAGTTAAAATTCCACATTTTTTGCACAAATCTGATAAAAATATTCTTGAAAAAGTCAGCAGCTGGTGTTTATCCAAAGATTCATTTTAATGCTCAGCTCAAATTGTAGACAAGTTTTA